GAAAGAAAGAAAGAAAGAAAGAAAGAAAGAAAGAAAGGAAAAATTCTTTCTAAACAAAGCACTTGACCAGGATTTAGGAGTGTGAACCTAGACATGCATTTCACCTCTTTCTCTTGTCTCGTGTTGACAGAAATTTGCTATATTCTAGTCATTACTCCAGGAATCTATATTCCTCTGAATTTAGCTAGAAATTGTGTATGCTATTTTAAAAAGGTTTTTTTTTTTTTTGGCTAATTTATTAATTTCTATTGATGCTTGATTGCTTTAACAAAAAGTCATTTTCGTAGGAAAAGCATAAAGGGGTGTAGAAACATGCCCAGATCCTCATTTCTCGGGAATCACATCCACGTAGGTAAGTAGCTGGTGTTTGATTATCTGCTCTCTTGGCCAAAGCCAAAGTGGCCCTCTTCCAGGCAGCCTTATGGCACCTCGGGCTTTCTCTCTACCTGGGATGGTCTTCCCTGAGAGCTAAGCATGGTGAGGTCTCAACTCAAATGTCACCTCCTTAAAGGAGGCCTTCGCCGACCATCCTAGCTAAAGCAGCTTCTGTCCACCCAGCCGGGATTCCGTAACCTATTGTTTCCTTTTTATCCCTTTCACCATCTGATGTCATCTTTGTTCACAGATTGCCCACTGTTCATGGACATGTTCGTTTACATGTGTCCTGGCCAATCTATCCCCTCCCGCCCGCCATAGCTGCATAAAGGTGGCTGGCTCCATGATGGCAGGGACCTTGTCATGTCCCCAGCCCTGATGGCGGTTGTACTGACTTGTGATTTATGCTTGGAATATTCTGGTGAAAATTCCCCAATGAGGACAGTAAAGTGTTTCAAGTCTCATAACCTGAACCCTGGAATATGGGAAATATGACAAGAATCTAGAAACTTTCTGAACCATGTATAATAGCATTTATGGTGACGTCATGATTAACTTCCTAATATCCTTCTGCCCCAGTTCCAAGAGGAAGGCTACTTAAATCAGAAGTGAAACACAGGGTTGACGGGGCGGGCAGACATAGCCCAGTTTGGGTGGACAGACACAAAGAAACTAGCAAGGCCAACCTACAGAGACCAGAGGGAGGCAGAGCTCCGGGCCCCCCAAAACATTCTGTCTGCATCAGACAAATCCTGGCCGGCACCGGGTGGCATTTCTTGGATTTTTTATGACACAATGTCTTCAGGACAGTAGTTCCCAATCATCTGGGAACGGGAAAAAGCCCCATTCCTAGATTCTGTCTCTCACGCTGGGGGAGCAGAGAGAGGGAAACACAAAATGTTGTATTTTTCCTACAATATTTATATACTTTTAACTCAACTTTTTCTGTAGCTGGTAAAAAAGATAACTACACAATCTCTTCTTCAGTGATCTCAAACTCATCTCAAAGTCTGAATTAGGCGAACCCAAATCCAGTAATTGAAGGTGCAGTTAGACAAAGACCTGGCTGATCAGACATGGTGGGGGTGGGGGGTAGATGACACAACAGCCTTTTGCTTGCTCTAAGAGGGAAGGTTCTCCCCAAAAGAGACACCAGTCTCTACCCAAGGACGTGGACTCCCCAGCTAATGACGACGCAGAGGGGATGAGCAACGAGGGGCTCTATTATCATTCAGTTTGAATGTAGCCCAAGGACAACTGGTTTGGGCAATGCCATCCCGGCCTCAGAAATCCCCTAACAATAATTACCAATGCTTACCGAGTAGCTACCATGTGCCAGGCCCCCTGCTATTGGCCTTACATGGCCTTACGTGGCCTTAAAGTCACGCTCACCGCAAGTGTGAACTGAGTGGTGTCATTTCCACACTACAGACAAAGAAGCAAAGGCACCAAGAGCTGATGCGGCATCTCCAAAGTGGCGCCGCTGATCGACAGCAAAACCATGTCTGAACTCGTGGGGCTCGACTCCAGAGCCTGCACCCTCAGCCGCAACACTTCACTGCTTCTCTCACGTGCCAGAAGGACCCCCGACTCTTGTCGGGAGGGCTTACCTTTCTGTCTGTGCCACTGGTGATGATCTGGAACTCTTCGGGGTGGTAACAAACACACTGGAATAAGGTGTTTGCCAGGATCATCTGATTCCTCCGAAGACGCCTGAAAACAATTAGACGCAAAAGCTGTGAAGCTTGACTTTCCCTTCCCTAGAAAATGCATTTACTCTTCAGCCTGGATTTGGCACAAGCTTGGATTGGGTTGGTTTATCTAACCCAGAGATACTTCCTGCTACTCTGCCCGCTCCACTCTGGAGTCCTCCCAATGCACCTACGGGGCCTCAGAAGATACCGGGCGGGCCCTTTTCCGAAGACAAAGCACAGAACTCCGGGGGAAGCCTCAAGTTCCAATGAGAACAGAAGAGGCTGAATTCGGAGTCAACCTGCTGTCTTGCACACAAGCCACCATATTCTTGAGGCCGCCATTTTGAAGCCAAGTTTCCCACCACCTGAGTGGCAGCGTGGGGGGCAGCTTTTTCAACATGGATATTCTTGAGCCTTCCCTGTGGGGATTTGGATCTAGCAGGCTGGGAAGAGGCCACAGATGGGCAATTTCCGTCAGCGTGCCAGTTGACTGTCATGTGCGAAACAGTTTGGGAGCCACTGCCTGAGACACCGTGCTGACAAACACGTAAACATTGCTTCTCCTTCCCTGGGAGATGGGTGGTCATCTCCCAGGCTGGGCTCTATTGGCTAAAAAGAAATGCACGCCCTGCATAGTTCCTTCTCACTATGGAACTTTTCAAACGTGGTATCTGGGCTGACTGTTTTTTAGAGATTTTGGCACAAATTAACCAAATAGTCCCGCCATACAACAGGAAGGCTTCAGTAATTTGAGGTGGTCACAAACAATCCATGGAAATATGTTTAGACACATCCTCCCTTCTAGTTCCGTATTTTCCCAGTGGGGAGTTCGGGTGTAGGCTAAGAACCCCTGCAAGCGTGGTCCTTGAACCAGGGGCATCCCTGGGGAGCTGGTTAGAAATGCGGGATCTTGGGGCGCCTGGGTGGTTCAGTCGGTTAAATGACCCACTTCAGCTCAGGTCTTGATCTCACGGTTCGTGGGTGTGAGCCCCGCGTTGGGCTCTGTGCTGACAGCTCAGAGCCTGGAGCCTGCTTTGGATTCTGTGTCTCCCTCTCTCTCTGCCCCTCCCCAGCTTGTTCTCTGTCTCTCCCTCTCTCCAAATAAATAAATAAACTAAAAGAAAAATGCAGAATCTGAGGCATCCCCTCGACCTTCTGAATACAAATCTACATTTTCACAAGAGCTCCAGGGGCTTCAAATGCACATCAAAGTGAGGAGACACAGAGGAGACAGAGGTTTTGTTTTTGTTTTTTTTCTTGAAGATTTTTAAAATATTTATTTTGAAAGAGAGAGAGAGAGCGACAGCATGAGAGGCAGAGAGAGAGGGAGACACAGAACCCAAAGCAGACTCCAGGCTCCGAGCCGTCAGCACAGAGCCCGATGTGGGGCTTGAACCCATAAACCATGAGATCATGACCTGAGCTGAAGTCGGACAGCTAACCGACTGAACCACACAAGCACCCCTGGTTTTTGTTTTTTCATATATGAAACAAAAAGTGTTCTGCCTTTGCCTTAATTCCCACTCTCTTCTCTGCAATCTAGAATGTTCCATATTCTTTTGCAATACATATATCCATATCTCCATTTAGGTCTCTTTTCTCCCACTTCTGGACTTATTCAAGTCTCTCTAATGCAGTCAGATACAGAGGCAAGGCATCTTAGGAGTAGTAGAGGTGTGCTGGGTGAGGGGAGGGTTAGGGGAAGAGGGTCTAATTCTACATAAAAACACAGGGGCGCCTGGGTGGCTCAGTCGGTTAAGCGTCTGACTTTGGCTCAGGTCACGATCTCCCAGTTCATGAGTTTGGGCCCCGCGTTGGGCTCTGTGCTGACAGCTCGGAGCCTGGAGCCTGCTTTGGAGTCTGTGTCTCCCTCTTTCTCCGACCCTCCCCTGTTCACACTCTCAGGAAATGAATAAACATTTTTTTAAAAATCTAAATAAAAACACACAGCCAAATGCTTATAGTTAAAAAAAAAAAAAAAAAAATCGCCCTTGAAAATCCTTTGCGTGGCTCCAACAGTAAGAGTTCACGTGCTTTGGTCTAGTTATCTTGGAGTCGGGTGCTCTTACGGGGGCTGTGACAGGCTCCCAGCATCAAGAGGGCCCTGGGAGCGGGGCTGGCTGAGGGGAGGGGCTAGACTCACACCACCCCCCCCTCTTCCACCCTTCATGGCAAGCTCATTGTGGGTTCCACTGCACAGAACAAGAGAAACTGCCTGCATCATTACTTCCCTTCTCCCTTTTTGGGGGAGAGGGGATTCTTAGAATTGTATTTGCATACGTTAAATCATGCTTCGCCGTATGTGTCCAGGAAGCTACTTCCCCATGCATGCAGAATCTTCCAACATCCAGCTTGTCCGGGACACTGCACCCTTTCTACCAGCATCTGTAAACCCTCAGCAGGCACAGAGGAAAATGGCTTCAGATGAACATCCCCTTCCTGTTGCCTCAAAGGAGATCTCTACCCTTTGTTCAGATCTTCTCTCAGTGAAATGCTGGAATCACTGGGTTTTGGGTCAGATTGTCCTGTCACAGCTACTTACACGAGGTCCCAAATGATGCAAGTGCCATCCGTGCTGGCTGTGACACACTCCAGGTTGTTGTTCTTCACCCTAATGCAGGACACAGAGGATTTATGCTCCTTCAGGGCCTCCTCCAGCTTCTGGGTCTGGCAGCCTATCTGCCACACCCTCACCTGAAAGCCACAAAGCACAGGCTTTCAACACAAACTTGGGACTTTGGAAGGGATTAAAAACAAACAAACAAGCAAACAAACACTCCGTGAGCTTTTCCACCTCTGCTGTGCTTGACTTGTATTTGTAAATTCCCTGCTCTGATCTCAGTTGAGTGGGGTGGGACTACTGGGAGCAGGAAAATCCTTCCACGGAGCCAGCAGAACGCTACCAATGATCCTACACTTGGATCTACTTTCAAGGCTGAGAAATTTACCAGACACCTGCTGCTACACCAAGTGAAATAATAGGTCTGCTCATTTCTGCCGAGCACCGCTCTCAGACATCTGGTGCCCCCAGGAAATCTCCCGGGGACCCAGAGCCGTATTTAAAATTTTTTTTTAACATTTATTTATTTTTGGGGGGACAGAGAGA